CGCAGCAGGAGGAGGAGGAGAAGAAGGAGGCCGAGGAGGGCCGCCCAGGACCCGGCGTTGGACTTTCGGCCCCCCCAACCGCCTTTCAAACCCCCGCTCCCCGCCGGGTGAGGCAAGGCGAGGCGCCCATTTTCCCCTCAGCGCCCGTTCCTGAGGGGAGGCCCGGCCCGGCCCGGCCCTGCTTGACAAAACGGCCTGAAAGGAAACACAAGGGAGGGAAGAACCGGGAGGGGGGAAGGAAGGAAGGAAGGAAGGAGCCCGTTTTTGTGAGGCGGAGGGGCTTTCCCGCCCTGTGGAGGAGCGCGGGAGGGCTTCTGGGCATGGACAGAGTGCCGGCCCGGCCTGCGGCCCTCCCGCCTCCTCGGGCTGGGTCCGCCTGTGAAGCCGAAGGGAGGGAGGGGTAGCCGGCTCGACCCTGGCTTGAGGATTTCCTCAGAAAGAGGGATGGAGATTGCCTGCTTGTCTGTCTGTCTGTTTGTTCGTTTACATTTTTATCCCGCCCAGCTGGTAGCAAGGACTTAGAAAAGAACTTAGGAAAAAAAGAGAAAATATTAAAAAAGAAAAGATTCAAAAGAAAAAAAATAATTCAGAAAAAGGTTCATGACAAAAATTATCCTTGAAAGTCCCATAGCATTAAGCACAACAACAATAATAATAGGAATTACTGCTTAAGGAGAAAAGGAAAAGAATGGCTGGAGTTCTTAAGAATTCCCTAGAGAGTAAAAAGGATGGTTATTTTAGGCTTTAATGAAGACGTGGGTCATTTTTGGCCGGCTGATATTTTCTTTGGCTTACAAACCCCCATCGCTCTGTGCCAGCCGAGCTAAAGGGGAAGGGGATGATGTGACTTGTGGTCAATCAGCATCTTAAGGGCTTCTTAGATCAACGCATTGAATTGCTTTGGCTTAATTGAAATAATAATAGCTTTCTAGGGGTCTCTAGGAACAAAGGAAAACATTGAAATGATCCTTGCTGTTCTAGTTCCCAAATAGGACATACAGGTTGGGGATCTTTTGTTCTCCAGATGTTTTGGACTAAAAACTTAAAATCCCTTACATTTGGGACGTGTGAGCTTGGATTTATGGGTCCTGAAGTCCAGAATTGAGGGCCAGTGGTTCTCCACCCCTTGTCTAGTAGTTTCAGATCAGTGGCTCTCAGACTTGGGTCCCTCAGTGCTGTTTTATTTTTATTATTATTATTTTAAAACACCAGGTGTTGGTGTGCAGCGTCCAAAACCCAAGACTGACTGAAGCTCCTGGGAATTGCATTCATTCATTCATTCATTCATTCATTCATTCATTCATTCATTCTGCTTCTGTACTGCCCATCGGATCAGTGGTCACTCTGGGTGGTGTACAGCAGTGGCAATAAAATAACAAAGTGAAAAATAATTTAACATTACCTTTAAAAACAGGCAGCAATTAAAAATGGTAGGCTGATATTCTCAGCAGCTATTCAGACAACATGTTTTGAAAAGCCTGCCAAAATATTAAAAATATTTTGAGGGTTTTCTTGAAGTCCTGTAATATATGGGAACCTGAGGCTGGGAATCCCTCTTTTAGAGTCTTCTCACGATATTTATATGTTTTGTGTTTTGCTTCATTCCTGAACAGGCCTGGCCTGCCGCAAAGAAGATTTCTGAGTTTCTTCAGTCAGACCCTTTCCTGCAAGCTGAGAGTTTTCACCAAGTGTTTATTTCAAGTAAGAGGAAAAAGGAGAAGCTTTTCAAATACCAAGAGATTTCAGCAGAAGATAGACAAGGATCATTGGAATAAATTTTAAATACAGTTTTGGAGTTTCTGCGGCTGACTGTCATTACAACATCTGCTTTATATCCTTAAATTTCAGCTTTCGCTTGACATCCCTACCTGGACAAAAGTTATTCTTTAAGCGCTATTTTGTACTGATACAGTCTTAATGTTGTAATGATTTATTTCAAGGTATAGCAGGCGCTTTGTGGTCTGTGAGGGAGTGATTGGAACTGTAAGGAGCCCCTTAGAAGGCAGCTATGGAGAAAATGGCTAGGGTGACCACGGCCCTAGGTGGCAATACTATCACAGGACGGACTATGTTCTGCCACCTGGATGCCCCTGCCAATGCAATTAGTGTGTGTCGTGATGCTGCCCAGGTGGTAGTCGCCGGGCGCAACATTTTTAAGATCTACTCCATAGAAGAGGACCAGTTTGTGGAGAAACTGAACTTGCGTGTTGGCCGCAAGCCGTCCTTGAATTTCAGTTGCGCCGACGTGGTGTGGCACCAGATGGATGAGAACTTGCTGGCCACAGCAGCCACCAACGGTGTCGTCGTGACCTGGAACCTGGGCAAGCCGTCCCGTAACAAACAGGACCAGCTTTTCACTGAACACAAACGGACAGTCAACAAAGTGTGCTTCCACCCCACGGAGGTGCATATGCTTCTCAGTGGCTCCCAGGATGGCTACATGAAATGTTTTGACTTGCGCAAGAAAGACTCTGTTAGCACATTCTCAGGTAAGGATTTGTTTCTGGGCTTTTTCTTGCTGCTCATCGCGACTAAAAGTATATATTACACAAGTACTACCGAGTCAACATCCATTCCCTCAGTTTCCACTACAGAGCTCCTTCGTTCCCCTAATATGCAGATAAAGACCACTGTTGGGGAGGCTTAATAAATTAGGATTATGTCGGTTTATTTTGGAAGGAAAGCAACTAAAATGGCTTTTAGAAAAATAGATTTTTAAAATGTAATTTTAAAATTCTCAGCATTTGATATAAAAATCTATTGTACAAATGTATTGAAGTCTGCACATACTATTGTGGTCGTGCAGCATAATAAAATGAAATTCAGACTTACTGTGAGTGACTTGTGTCTTAGTGTACGTAGCCTATTTGCTCCCATTTTGGTCCTCCATTTTACACTGCCTATTGAATAAACCATAAACGGTTTATTTAGTACATTGTCTGAACTGGATGTCCTTGGTTTATGGCCTCTTGGATTGGCTGGAGTTGCAAGCTAGGTATGAGATGGGCTAAATGTGTCTGCCGTGGCCTTCACTTTCAGGTCAGTCGGAAAGCGTGCGTGATGTCCAGTTCAGCATCCGCGATTACTTTACCTTTGCTGCAACCTTTGAGAATGGTAATGTCCAGCTGTGGGACATTCGACGGCCAGACCGCTACGAGAGGATGTTTACAGCTCACAATGGGCCCGTATTCTGTTGTGATTGGCATCCAGAGGACAGGTATGGGCAGATGCAGTGGCATTCTGCGCTAGCCGTCTCTTTTGGGTCTTCTAAAATCTTCAGCTGTATTCTTTCCCCCCCCTTTGGTTTTCTGCTTTCCTTTCTTTGTCTTAGCACCTTCTAACGTTATTGGCTAAGAATCCCTTGCAATTCGGCTTTCTAAACATTGTCTGCTCATGTACAGATTTTTTCCCCCCTAGAAATGCATGTGCTCTTATATTTAAAAAAAATCAGAATGCAAGAATTTCTGTGCTTTGCTCTGTGGCACAGTTTCTTTTCATCAATTTGAATACATTCTGGGTTAAGGACTTCAGAATGACTATTTGTCAAAGAGACAGATAAATTCAGTAAGTGGGAGAAGCAGGTATGCAAGAAAACGTTTCCTTCTGTCTGTTTACATCTGCCCACCGTGGTTAAGTGGAAGCTTCCTGATGAGCCTTCTCAGCGTTCTAACCCTTCTCAGCAGACATGTAAGTTAGCGTCACGGGTCCATGTGTGGCAGTCACTGGATGGTTTTCTTGTCCCTTAAGCTTTCTCCTTTTCCCGCCAGGGGCTGGTTGGCGACAGGGGGCCGAGACAAGATGGTGAAAGTCTGGGACATGAACACCAACCGGGCCAAAGAGATCTACTGCGTACAGACCATTGCCTCCGTGGCAAGAGTCAAATGGCGGCCGGAATGCAAGCACCACATTGCCACGTGCTCTATGATGGTGGACCACAACATTTACGTGTGGGACATACGTCGCCCTTTCATCCCCTCGGCCATGTTCGAAGAGCACAAAGATGTCACCACAGGGATCGTCTGGCGTCATCTCCACGACCCTTACTTCCTCCTGTCCGGCTCCAAGGATAGCACTCTTTACCAGCATATCTTCAAGGATGCCAGCCAGCCGATTGAACGAGCGAACCCCGAAGGGCTTTGCTACAGCCTTTTCGGGGACCTGGCCTTTGCTGCCAAGGAGAGCCTCATCGCCTCGGATTCGAACCGCAAGCCTTACACGGGCGACAGGCGCCATCCGATATTTTTCAAGCGCAAACTGGACCCCACGGAGCAGTTCGAGTTCATCTCCTCTTCCAGCGCCCTGAGCGTCTTTGAAGCAGACACTGAGTGCGATGCAGGCAGCATGGACTGGTTCGTGCAGACAGCCAAGCAGTACGTGCTGACGGGGAGGCCCCTGGCCGAGCTGTGCGACCACAATGCCAAAGTCGCCAAAGAGCTTAAGCGCAACCAGGTGAACGTTCCCTCGGCTCAAGTAGTTGCCAGAATCACACCCTTGCACATGGGGAAATTGCAGGAGGAGGGGGTAACTCATCTGATGACCAGTAGGCATCTGTCTTGTTGCCACATTTGAATCCAGACCCTGAGCTTATGTGTTGCAGCCGGGCATCGCTGAAGGCAGCTTTGCTGAGGCTACAGGCTTGCAGTGGACCCAAGCAACAACCTGTAGTGCTTGGCTGCAGAAAGTTCATATTTATTGAGCAGGCAAGGAAGAGCCAGTAGGTGTCCTAATACCTGCCTGTAAAGCTGCTGTGGTGTATGTGGTGCGTGAAGATGACCTTGAGACTCGTCTCCCGTTAAGCTGAGTTTAAGCTCTGGGATTCAGCTCTTGAGAGACTCGGAGTTTGCCGTCCAATGGAGTGGAAGCCATGCATGTGTTTTGCCCGTTGCCCTTTCTCCAGGACACCATATATATTGCTTTTGTTTCATATCATTGGCTGGAAAACGTACCTGATGGTTGTTAACCCGTTTTGTTTCTTCTCTTATTTGCCAGGTTGCTCAAACGTGGACGATGCTTCGTGTCATTTACTCTACTCCTAGTACGGTGCCGGCTGTAAATTTAAATCACAGCATAGGAAAGAGCAGCTCCAGTCTCCCACTAATGAACAGGTAAAACAAAATATCAGAACTCTTGGGTTTGATATGGTCATCAGGTAGTTAATAAAATGTAGGCCAGCCTCCCCCGTTCTTGTGGCCTACAGATGCCATAAGAGGCTGGCAGACACAAAGGGTCTGGCACGTAAGCAGGGTGGAAGGTTGCCTTTAGCCCTACCAGGACCCCTTTTATGAGGAAATATATTCCTCCGGATAACATTTTGAGGACTGCATTTTCATTTTGTTTGTGCCTGGATGGATGTCGTTTTTAGTGATGCCTTTTATTTTAAAGAATTTCTTAAAGTTCAATGATGTCTTAGTATCATGTGTTTCATAGAATGTTAATTATTTTATGTGTCTTTGGGAGAAGGGTGGGAGAAAAAAACGACAAAAAGGGTAAAAGGAGGGAGGAATTCTCAGGATGGATAATGAGATGGTATGGACGTTTTTAATTATTTGTTGTCTTTGGTTTTGATTTTTTTTGTTTTGTTCCTGAGAACTAAAAATGTGTCACCAGCATGTTTATAGGTGTCCATTAGAGTCCCAAAATTGAGAGTATGCAAATCTGATTCAGCGTTTGAAAAATGAGAAGGATTATGTTGGAACTGTGGAAGAATGGGGTAGATTAGAATGTTATAACATTAGGTGGGCACCTTTTTGAGCATGCAAGGGGCATTGCAATCATCCCCTGGGCCTCAGAGAGCTGCACCCTCAGTCCTTTCCTGAATATTTTCCCACTGCATTTGGAACGAGGGGCGGGGTGGGTGGGGAGTGTGAAATGCAGAGCCACATTTCACCCACATGTTTGCCCGTGCTAGGATTACATCTACCGATTTTCAAGAAGTAAGATCAAGAATTGTTGGCTTGCTGAGGCTAGGTATAAACAGAATAATTGTGGCATCAGGTTAGAGTACTTGTTACAGGACTTTAGGAATCATCTCTTCCCATTGGCTGTCCAAACTACAAATGTTCTTGCTTTGCACTTGTTAAACCAGATATTTTTGTATTTGGGGAGGGGGGTTTGGGTATATTAGACATTGCAAATTAGAGCAACCACGGACCGGCAGAATCTCTTTTTCAACCCTGTTGACCGATCTAAAAGTGCCAGAGATGAGAAAAGTTGAATTAAAAAGGATGTGGTGGGACTTTTTAAAATGGCCATTTGGTTACCAGAAATTATAAACTGTGGGGACATGGGTGAGAGGAGGTGGAAGGGACTCTGGGAGCAGGAATACACACGTGAAGGACTAATACGGAGACATGTTTGCCTCCCCCCCAGCTTTAACTTGAAAGACATTCCATCTGGGATAGGCAGTGAGTCGAGGCTGGAGCGAAACAAGGGGGAAGGCCGCCCTGAAAACATCCTCATGGATTCTTCCTCTACCTTGATGAACAACGATGGTGAGAAGGGGCGCGAAGAAGGGGGAAGCCTAGCTAAGCGTACCGCCTTGCATAGGCAGACACGGCGGGCACCGCTCCGGCCCTGCCCAGAAACCCATCTGCTGGCAGGCCTGCAAGGGGTGCTTCACCTTTCCTTCCCTGCCTCCCTCTTTCCCTTTCGGATGTCTAGAGAATGAAGAGACCGAGGGCAGCGACGTCCCCGTGGACTATCTCCTCGGGGACGTGGAAGGCGATGAAGATGACCTCTATATGATGGACCATGAGAACCAACACAGTGAGTCTTGTCTCCCGCCTGTTCCTCGTTCCTTTGCTGTGTTGGATGGAGTCGCTGGGCTTTCCCCTGCCCTTGGCCTTTGCCCTCATGGAGTGGTATCTTTTTTTTTAACAGCCGAAGAACAAGAGTACATCCTGCCCCAGGAGGCTTTCCCTTTGCGTCACGAGATCGTGGACAACCCCTCGGCGCTGGACCACCTCCAGGACAAAGCAGATTCCCCCCACGTCAGTGGCAACGAGGCAGAGACCGTCTCCCTGACCCCCGTGGAGTCCTTCTCCCTCATCTCCATCTCTCACTCCCTCTACGAGAACCGCCTGCCAGCGGACTTCTTCAGCCCCATTGTGCGCAACATGTTGCTCTTCTACGCGGAGCAGGGGGACGTGCAGATGGCCGTATCCGTGCTTATCGTGCTGGGGGATCGCATCCGGAAGGAGATTGATGATCAGGCACAGGTACGTTTGTACACTGCCACCCATGTGTGGTGTGGGCTGGGCTGCCAGCCTCGTCAGGGCGCTGCTTGGGCCTCCATATTAATCGCTGGCGCTTCCTAGCTCACTACGGTCCTTGGCTGTCCACCTCTGCTCGCTTATCCTCTCCCAGTCAGTGAAAACAGCCAGGAGAAGGACCAGGAAACTCTGTACCTCTTATCTTTTTGTCTGAGTGGTGATGATGATGATTGGGTCTGGAGGAGGACCTCAGGTCACCCAGCTGTTCTTGGACTGCATTTCCCAGAAGCCTTCACCACCAGCTCTGCTGGCTGGGAGTTCCTGGGAGTTGCAGGCAAGAGGACCTGGGTGATAACCATGGTTGGGCACCGTTGGTGTAGAGGAAAAAAACAGGCACATGGGCAGTGGCAGCGGCAGTAAGACGGAGAAGGAGTGAGCCTCCTTGAGAGCATTGTGTCTGGTGGACCTCTGAAACCTGGAACTTGAAGACTCCTTTGCTCTCATCCCACGATGTAAAAGCAGACGTGATTGAGAAGATGGCCGAAGAGTTTATTTGCTGGGCTTTGTGTGAGAGGTGGGGGTACAAAGAAGTCACTTCAACTATCTCAATTCCTTTTGTGGATTCGTGGTTTTGGGAGTGCCCCTCTCCCAAATTCCTCACATGTTATAGTCAGCTCCCTTCTTGTTTTTATCCCACATTCCTCCCGAAAACACCTAACATAATTTTTCTCCTTCACCACAGAAGAGCCCAGGTAGGAATGGTACTTTTGGGGGGTTTTATGACTCCCAGAATCCCCCAGGCAGCTTTCTCAGAATGAAAGCCCCACACACCAGAAGACTGGCCCTTCAGATCTTCAGTGCTCTCTTCCTCGGCAGCTTCTAATTTGAACAGCAAGAAGCCTATCCCAGTGTGCTGTGGGAGTCCAGACGCTGCCTGGTATTTGCAAAAGTGCATTGGGGGGGTGGGGTGGGAGTCGTGATCCTTAAAAGGCTGTATAGGGGCTGATCCAGCAGGAACCCCCTCCCCAAAAATGCATCTTTACGAGTCCCTGAGAAGGTGAGTCCTTGTGCCTATTAGATGATAGATAAGGTGCTTCCAACAGTACTCTCCTTCCCATACACTTTTGTGAGCCTCCCAGTTAGTTGTGGGACTCTCACAGGGCAACGGGGTGTTTTTCTTGGTGTTCAAACGAGAAGCAGCTCAGGAAGAACATGGAGGTAGGAAGGGCTGGTCTAAACTTTAGATTCTGAAATCTTCTAGCTTTGAGGCTTTCACTCCCAAGAACTCTTGTCTAGGGGATCCTGAGCATGTTCTGGGAATGGGAGTGCTACCCCCCCCAAAAAAACTACAATCCCTAAGCATAGGGTGAACAACTAGGAATCACAGTAATGAGGGAAACATTGATTTTGTTTATTTAAGCCTCATCTGTTTAAAGATCCTGCAGCTAGAAATGGTAAGAAGCAGGGACTGTTACATAGATAGCAGAATTCCGATCTTTGTCATTTATTTTAATTTCATAGCACAGGCTTATCTTTAAAAGTTCTCTGACTGCTTTTTCAGTTATGAGTACTATTTTGATACAAAAGAAGATAGATAAGAGGATGAGTGGTTGAAACTGGATCTGGGGCATGAGATAAATCCTTCCTGTGTAACTCTTGATCTCATCAGCACTGGTTGGGGGCCGGGCTGTCCTTTGTGCGCTGGCTTATGTTATGTGATAGAAAGATGGGACAGAAATGGAATAAATAGCCACCTTTCACGAGTATCTGATGATCATTTCCAAAAAGAAGAAGAAGGGGCTGATAAAAAAAAATTACATTCACTGCAGAGGAATATAAAGTTGAAATATAATGCCCCAAATCATAGTATTTTGCTCTCTCTTTTTCCCTTGCTTTGGCAGGTCTGATAGCCTTGCTGGTCTCTTCTTTTTTCTGACATAAAAAAGCAAGTCGTAGGAATTTTAGTGACTAGATAAAATAGGAGCAGAGCTTAACGTCCGAGAGAGCAGTTCAGAAAGTTCTCTGGGGCCTGGTGACGCGACTCTGTGCATGCCTTCCATTCCACAGGAGCATTGGTACACGTCCTACATCGATCTGTTGCAGCGTTTCCAGCTGTGGAACATCTCCAATGAGGTGATCAAACTGAGCACCTGCAGGGCCATCAACTGCCTCAATCAGGCCTCCACCACCTTGCACATCAACTGCAGCAACTGCAAACGGCCCATGAGTAACAAGGGATGGATTTGTGACAGGTGAGGGGAGAAGGAAGTGAAGTTGGGCAAGGCAGTTTATCTCTGGGGGGGGGGAGAGAGCAAAAATGCACGCTCTTGGTATACTGCCCCATAGCGCTTAAAGCACTCTCTGGGCGGTTTCCAAGTTAATTATGCAAGCTTCACGTTGCCTCCCCAGCGAGCTGGGTGCTCATTTTACTGACCTCAGAAGGATGGAAGGCTGAGTGAACCTTGAGCCGGCGACCTGGGATTGAATCCTCCCCCAGGTTGTAAGCAGTTTTGGTTGCATTACAGCTGTTTAACCATGGCACCACGAGGCTCACGCCTGTTCAGATAGTTTGAAACCCAGCTGATGCAACTTCCTCTCTCACGCCTGTTCAGATAGTTTGAAACCCAGATGTTGGAACTTCCTCTCACAAGAGGCCAGACCGGCCGCATCTTTGCTGCCCTTCCGAAAGCAGACAAAGACCTTCCTCTTCAGACGAACTTTCTCTCAGTGACTGCCTACCTGGCCGGCTACATAAGTGACTTTTAGCTGCATTGTTATGTATTATGTCTCTGACTGTGTCTTTAGCGCTGCTTGTGTTTACCATCACTCAGAATGGCATTTGTTTCTTCCTTTTTAATATTTGCATACTTATTGTTTCAGCTTTCATATTCTCTTTTAACTACCCTGTTTCCCCAAAAATAAGACCTAACTTGAAAAGAAACCTAGTATGATTTTTCAGGTTGCTCATAAGTCCTTCCCCAAAAATAAGACCTAACTTGAAAATAAACCCAGTATGATTTTTCAGGTTGCTCGTAATATAAGTCCTTCCCCAAAAATAAGCCCCCGCTAAGTGAAAGCCCGCCCTCTGCCCTTGTGCAGCAACCAGAAGAGGACATGACTGCATGTAAATAAATGTAGATTGTTGTCCATAAAAAAAACCATCCCCTGAAAATAAGCCCTACTGTGTTTTTTAAGAGCAAAAGTTAATATAAGGCCCTGTCTTATTTTCGGGGAAACACGGCATGTAAGCTGTCTCTTTATACTCACTGATCTTAGCTTTTAATACTGCCTTTTAATGATGGAAACCACCGTTGTATAGTCATTGTTTTCAGCTTTAAATATTGTCTTTCAGTGGTGTAAGTCGCCTTGGGTCTTTTTAAGGAGAAAGAAAGGGTAAAAATATTTTAATTAAATATATAAAATAAAGTCTAGCTCAGCACTGACCGGACAGGTTGGCAGTAGAAGTGAGTTTCCCCCAAATGGGTATCCATCTATCTACTCATCCATGAATGTTGTTCCGCCTTGCCTCTGGCAGTGACAATTTTTGTATGCCTCATCAAACATGTAGCTCTGACTATTCACATAATCATTCTCTGGAGAATTTTAGGCATCCCAAGTTGCTACTACTGTAGTGCCTTTTTTTTTAAAGCTGAGCTGATGGACAGCAGCAGCTGTGACATATTCTTGACACCAACAGGCTACGAAGGATTGCCACACCCTGATTATTGTGTTCCTGCTCCACCTTCCTTGCACGGTGCTCAGGTGACGTGCATAATTTTCCAAAATCAAGAACAGGACAATGGGGTAATATTGTCGGTGAATAGGAACCGTGAACAGTTGTTAAAGGAAATTAAAAACCATTTATTCAAAAAGACACAATCTTTGTAACACATTTTATATTCAGAATCCACCCATTCCGAACACAGGTGGATGAATGGATATGCAGGTGGGTATAAGAACCATAGAGGCTGTCTGGGCAGAGCACAAGAGACAGCACCCAACGGCAGTGTAAAGAAGTTTGGACTGAGAGAGGGAGAGTGTTTGGCACAGGTTCACTCACTTCATGGCCGAGTAGAGAGCTGCCACTCCACTTCAGGTGTCTTTTCTTCCGATCTAACCATCGTTTCGTGCTGTTTCTCGGAGGCAGGCATTGATTGTGGGCTCTCCGTTCCAGGGTCTGAGCGATCTGAAGTTCAGGGTTGCCTGCTCTTTCCTTCCCTCTACTCCAGTTGATTTTACTTTCTGGTCTCTTCCAGGTGCCGCCAGTGTGCCAGCATGTGCGCTGTGTGCCACCATGTGGTGAAGGGCCTATTTGTTTGGTGCCAGGGTTGCAGTCATGGCGGCCACCTGCAACACATCATGAAATGGCTAGAGACCAGTTCTCATTGCCCGGCGGGATGCGGCCACCTCTGTGAATATACCTGAACCTATTGGCGGTTGTGTCTGCTGGAAAGCCAGACTCACTCCACGGGCGGCTCAGATCTGCGTCTGAGAGCCTCGTCCTTCTGGGAAGCCCTGGAGATGCAGTTGAAGCATTAGCTTCATGAGAGGACTTAGTAGGTTGCATGCCGTAAAGAGAGAACTACCTTCTTTGCTTCACAGAAATCAGCGAAATGCCTAACGTGTGCAGGATTGCAGGATTCTTCTGCGAAGCTTCACCCAGTCACCTTTTCCTATTTATTTTTTTACTGTGACGTAAATGGGTTTCGTTACCACATTTCTACATAGAACTACTTCTTAAAAAGTCAAGATGGCACCAGAGACCTTCGCCTCAATTTTTATATTGAAATAAAAGCAATAGTGAATTTTTCTGCTTGCCGTTTTGTATGGAGTTCCCAAATCTTTTGATGATAATGCTGTTCAGTTCTGAGTAGAGACCTCCATCTAGATTCTTTTCACAAAGAGAAAAGCTTCCAAAAATCTGCCCTGGGCAATTAATTCGGAACAGAATCATCAGACTTCCAGCTGTCTTGAGGCTGAGCACAAATTACTGGTGAACGAGGAAACTGCATTAAAAAAGGTTTAGGACACCATTCACAGTGTAAGTATTCTCAAAATTGCAGAAATATCTTAAGAGTGCTGGAGCGCTCAAAGATAATATAACCAGCCTCAGACATTCAAGGAGAAAATGGCCGTAAGTGCAATCCTACTGTTATTGTTTACAAATACTGTACGTTCACTGTGTTCAGTGGAGGTTACTTCCAGGTAAGTGTGGACAAGATGGCAGTCTTGGTCTTGTTAATAACATGGGCTGAAATCCTGTCGCACTGTTATAGCATGACGTTACCCATATAGAAGTTCGCAAGGGGTCACATCTGAGCGGTCCACGTTGTATGCCTGATTGTGAATCTAGTTGCACTCTGTGTTTGTGGAACTGGTTGCTAACGTCCACCTTGGCACCGATTTCATAACCACTTGCCCAGCTTTTTGAGTTTGGCAGGCATAACTACATAACAGGATTTTGACCATTAGGACAAAATAAAGGCCCAGTTAGCGATAACAGGATTTACAGATATTCCCAGCCACAACATCTTTCACCTCAGGACACTGGGAAGAGTTGTCCATTTTCCAACTGGTATAATTTTTCAGCCAGTCAACCTGTCTTGCCTTTTTACATCACATCCTTGATCCTTCTGTCCCCTCAGTGAATAAGGTGGATCTCTGTTCTTCATCTTTTTCTCAGTATCATGGGTGGCTCCCTTTAATCCATTTCTCTCTTAAGAATATATTTTCCCCTCTGCCTATTTTAGCTGTTGAAACCCGATGATTTGCTGACAGATGGAAATTGGTTCTAGGATATGTTTTATTATAGAGACAATTGCTTAAAATAATGTGAGTAATGCTGAAATCAAGGTGCTCTGTGGCCCTCAAGCGATCAGCACTGGCTAGTAAACACATTAGCTGCCAGAGACTGGAATTAATATGAAAGCACTGAAATGCAAAACGACACCTAAGTTTCATAGAAACTGTACCAGTGTTTGGCACTCTCAGATAGCTGGCACAGTGTCATAAAATCCTTAATCTAAGTATTAGCATTTTCTTTGCTTGCAGCTTCTCTGAGTTCTGTCGCATTTTTACTAAATGGCACTGTTTAATGTTAGCTCCTTTAGCAGTCATTTCTGGAAGCAGGTGAGGACATGAAGCTATAAGTTTTATTTTTTTTAAAAAAATACATTTTTATCCCATCCTTAACCAAAAAAAAAAATCAGGCATTTTACAGTAATTGCAGATTTAATAGCGCCTAAAACAAAAACTCAGTAAAACCAAATAGCAGCTCGTAATAGCATAATACAGTGGTGCCCCGCATAGCGACGATAATCCGTGCAGCAAAAATCATCGCTATACGGATTCGTCGCTTTGCGAAAAAAAAGCTCATAGGAATGCATTAAAACCTGTTTAATGCGTTCCTATGGGCAAAAAACTCACTTTTAAGCGAAAATCCTCCATATGGCCACCATTTTCGCTGCCCGGTAAGCAAGGAATCCAGGCGAAAATACAGCAGGCGGCCATTTTTTTTACCTGGTGGCCATTTTGGAACCGCCAATCAGCTGTTGGGAAATCATCGCTATGCGAAAATCGGTAAGCGAAACAGCTTACCGATCATCGCAAAGCGATATTTTCCCATTAAAAACATTGCAATGCGATCGCAAAAATGATCGCAAAAAATCGTCGCTATGCAGATTCCTCGTTAAACGGGGCGCCCATTAAGCAAGGCACCACTGTACCAACCATTAAAGTAAATGTGAAAATATTTGGAGAAATAAGATCTTCAGCAGGTACTGAAAAGACAGCCAAGGAGGCACTAGATAGAACTTACTGGGGAGAAGAATCACATAATTAGGGTGCGAAATAACCCTTTTTCTAGTTATCACATGTGTCATCTCCTCTGTGATGCCCTGACATCAGAAGAGCTTGGGAAGATGATCTTTAGTGGATGGATGGCAAGGGTCACAAGAAGACAGGAGATCTCCCACGTATCATGGGCTCCAACCATAAAGGGTTCCCAAAGGTCAGCCCCATCTTAGTACTTTTTAAAAATTTTATAAATTACATAAACAAAACAAGCAAACCAGTCCTCTTACGCAAATGAAACAAGCAAACCAGTCCCCTCGTGATGTAATGAATACAGTATGTAGTTCACTTAAGCCACAGGGCTGTTTTCCTACATCTTTGATACAGCTTTACTAATAATAATACTGACATTCTGTGTTGTGTTGGTCATTTTCAATTGATCAATTTCTCAACACAAGTGTATGGTACTGAAATCCTTGGCAGTGTGACTTGCCTAATTAGTTATTCCTGCCTCACCCTTGTGTTCCAGCTCTATGTCCGTCTGGTATACCCTGTCCTTAGTAGCTTCAAGGATGATGAACCTCTGTGGTTGGGTGTATGTTTCATTGCAGATTAGAATAGCAACGGGGAGTGCACAGCGATCAGGCTTAGTTGTGTCGTTTCCCCAGTCCACAGAACTTCAATAATAGCCTCGTCACCACCATCATCCTCTCACTGGAGAGAAGGAAATAGGCTTAATGTTTCAACGTTCAACTAATGTAGCACCGTTACCTTTAAATACTGTATTCCGGTGAAGCTGGTGGTACGTTAGGTCAATAACAGGAGATTCTTCTTGTGCTGCAGCTTGAGAAGTGTAAGTCTGGCCCGCTGGCCACTCCTCTGAGAGAGAGGCCAGCTCCACATGAATTAGATGGGATTCGAGATGCTAGGGAAATGATATCCAAACCAGAAATGGGGTAATCGGCTGGAAAGAGTGCCATCTTGTTTCAGAGGTTAGCCGAAGTTCTAGAATCAAGTCATGTCAGGGATCTCATTATGGGAGGCGTTCTGGAACCCTTGAACCAATCACACCCTTTTCCCAAGAGGAGGGTTATGTGGAAGGCCCGGCAGCTCTTTCAGCTGCCTCCCCCCACCTTGAAAAAATGGATGATGCCTCTGCTTCGGCGGGCTACTCCCACTGCCACATGGAGAGGAAGATGAGCGCCATGGCTTGTACCGTCTTTAACGAACTCCGGCTGGAAGGGAAGCTCTGTGACGTGGTCATCAAGGTCAACGGGTGTGAGTTCAATGCTCACAAGAACATCCTCTGTAGCTGCAGCTCCTATTTTAGGTCAGTAAAAATTGATCAGAAGTAAATAAATTAATCAGTAAATTTATCAGGAGTAAATAAGAGAAATGCGAGAGGCAGGATGTAGAACCCTGCGGTGCAGCGGTTAAACTGCAGTCCTGCAGTCAAGACTCTGCTCGAGACCTGAATTTGATCCGGACAGCCTCAGGTAGCCGGCTCAAGGTTGACTCGACCTTTCATCCTTTCGAGGTCAGTAAACTAAGTTCCCCTGCTTGCTAGGGGTGGCATTATGTAGCCTGCATAATTAAATGGTAACCTGCCCAGCTCTTTGGGGCAGTATATAAGCAGCACACTTTGCTTGAGTTTGGCCAAATATGTGGTCTTAACTTCAAGGATTATTTTCCAGAACGAGCGATGCTGGAACTTGTGTGTCCTGAAAATTGTGCAGAAGGTAAAACTGCCTTTACTAGGGACCGCCTGCCCGCAGAAGGATTTGTTAATGGGTCGTCTAGCTTTTAACTGACCTATTAGATGATTTTGTCACCAAATTCGCAATATAGGTGCCCTTTGGAAATGGCGTCAGCAAAACAAATCCTACCGGAGTTGTCGAGAAGGCTCTCTTCACAGTTTCTTTAGACTCTGTTAACAGCAACTCAGAACAAACTAGCCCTAAGACGTAAATGAGTGCCAGCAGTTTAAAAAGGTTCCTGTCAAGGTGACTCAAAATGTCACTATTGGAAAAGCACAATTCTGAAGTTAGGTGTTGTGTCAGAGCTGAGTTACACAAGAGAAGCAGGAGGTGAAATAGTTGATAAGAGCAGGGAAACCATAGCAGAGGTGTGTGTGTGTGTGGGGGGGGAAATGGGCTCTCCAGCGGTTTTTTTTTTTGCCCACAACTCTCATCAGCCCCTCTCACCACAACCAGGGTGAAGGATGATGGGAACTGTAGTTCAGTGAAATCTGGAGGGCCACTTGTGGCCTGCTGTTGCTCTATAGAAGAGACAGAAAAGAGGAGCGATATTGACGAGGCTTCTTCAGACAAAATGGATTCCAAGAGGATTTTTTAAAAAAATCAAAAGTTTCATCAGGAAAGGAGATTGGCGAGATTTGATCCGTCAAGGAGAGAATATCTAAGCCATCCCAGACCAGTTTAGTGTTTACTGGTTGAGAAGAATGCCATTTTGGCAAACTGGCAGGTTCTTCACGAAACCAAAGGAGGAGAGTTTGGGGGGGGATTTCTGAGCCAAGAGTTTTTGCGATCGTATCCGGGCCTCTCTCTCCATCCCATAGTTAGAGCAGACACGACCTTCCAGACCCAAGAAAATGATGAAGCATCGTGAGCTGGGCGGCCTCCTTCAGTCCCACAGACTGAAAGGACAGACGCAAGACTTTGTACGTGTCCCTGATGCTGGTACTGGCGGTAGTCATGCTCCAGAGAGCCGTTCCCACTGACCACCAATCCACGCCGCTCCGTGGCTTTAAGCCTCTGGCTGCAGAACCAGAGGCTGGGTGTTCGATTCTTCCACAGGGCCTCCTTGACAGGGGCTCAACTGGATGATCCCATGGGGTCCCTTCCAGCTCTGCAGTCCTAAAATGACGATGATTACAATGTCTCATCCATCATGTCTTTTGCTACACCCTAGACCTTGGCTAAAAGCCCTCTGGTATGATGATAGGCATGGGCAATGTGGTCACCAAGGCTTGCTTGGTCACAGCAAGCTCTGGTATGATGATAGGCATGGGCAATGTCAGCAAGGGTTGCTTGGTCACAGCAATGTCTGCTCGGTTCTGCGCTGTTCAGCATCAGCAATTATTTCGTTTACCCCTCACATTCCGCTAACGGGTTCACAGCCGGAACGAGCTTATCGATTTCCAGCAATGCCTCTGTATCCCTAGCTCAGTGATCCTTGCGGGCTGGTTCCCATGTCCTTTATTCACTGGCAGTCAGCAGCCGCTACGGCTTTCTCAATAAATAAATAAAGTAGGAGAGAGAGAATAGGGAGAGAGGGAGATTCCTCAGGTTGGCCGGAGGAGCTTTGCGGACTCGGTATTGTCCTGTTGAGGAACAGCTACTCCAGGATGTCGTCAGAGACCAACAGCAAAGGCACTCTTGTTCTTTTTTTCAGAGCCCTGTTTACCAGTAGCTGGAACAACTCGGAGAAAAGAGTCTATAATATTCCCGGCATTACCCCAGATATGATGAAGCTCATTATTGAATATGCCTACACAAGGACAGTGCCTATTACGGTAGACAACGTGGAGCGACTTCTCGTGGCGGCCGACCAGTTTAACGTGATGGGCATCGTCCGGGCTTGTTCCGACTTCATGAAATGCCAGCTGTGCCTGGAGAACTGCATCGGGATCTGCAAATTCACGGAGTATTACTACTGCTCCGATCTGCGGCAGGCCGCCTACATGTTCATCCTGCACAACTTTGAGGAGATGGTGAAGGCGTCTTCCGAATTCCTGGAGCTCTCGGTCAATGAGTTTAAAGACATCATTGAGAAGGACGAACTCAACGTGAAGCAGGAAGATGCGGTCTTCGAGGCCATCCTCAAGTGGATTGGCCACGATCCTCCAAACCGAAGGCAGCATATGGCCGTGCTGCTCCCTAAGGTCAGCTTTCTTTCATGTCTTCCTGGTTTAGGCTTCAGAGGTTGGGACTACCCTAAGGTCAGCTTTCTTTCATGTCTTCCACTCCTCCCTGGTTTAGGCTTCAGAGGTTGGGACTGCGATTCCTCACTGCGCCTCCCTAACGGGCTGGTCTCGATGACCCATTGGGTTCCTTCCCCCTCTGCAGTTCAAAGATTATTCCAGTGATTTGTTTTCGGTTTGCAATGATAGATAACACTTTCTAACCCATCTCAGACGAACCGTGTTGATATCAACAGGCCCAGTTTGGGACTAGTCCTATTAGCTAGGGGTTATAGGAGTTTTAGTCCAGAAAAGTACATTTCAGATCTCCAGTTTTACCACCGGGCCTGCTCAGCTCAAACACAATATGGGCTTCTTCAAGAGAAGCGCAGTGAGGTCTACTCCAGTTGCCCCCAACCTTGGGTTCCCCAGATGCTCTTGGACTACAACTTCCTGGCCAGAATAATTAGCGGTGAAGGCTTCTGGGAGTTTTAGTCCAAGAACATCTTGGGGACCCAAGGTTGGGAACATTCATCTAATCTCCTAGCAGCTCTCCAAGTTCTCCGAAAGAGAGAGAGAAGCTCTTTTTTTATCACAATTTAACTGAAATGCGTTTGTATTTTGCACCTTCAATGATGGGTCAAGCAAGACAATAGGTATATGCATTTTTTTTGTTGTTTAGTTGATTTGGTTTTATTTTGTTCCACGGTGCTGTGAAAACGGTTGTTTTTACTGCCTATCAGAGTAGATGGTACCGGTCTAGGTGGCAAAGAGTTTGATGGTTTTCCTATCGATGCTGCTGGTGGAGTCTTGTGAGATTTTTCTCCCGGCGAACAAATGAATGTGAGTCTTTAGTAGATCTGTGCAAATCTGTGCTTTTGGGCCTCAGGTAGTCTGAAGATGCTAAGCTGTACACCTCTTGATTATCAGTGAGGGAACCACATCAGTGAGGGAACTGCTATGGCATGTTCACACTTTTGTGAAATGGGAGATGGGTAAACACACATGAACAGTTCCTAGTCTAACGACGTAATTTGGGTAGAAGGAGAGTGGCTATGCTCTGATTGTTGTCAGCAAGACCCATTAAGAGGCTTCACGAGGGGCTGTTTCATAACGGACCTCTTAATTTTGGTAATTTTGAGGATAATGGGATGGCCATAAGGGTCGCACCTGGGCCTTTGATCCTTTTGGGAGCGCTGGTCTCTACCTGCTGTTACAGCTATTCCCTCGCTTCCTGGAGATATTTTCTGTTCTCTGACTGCGGTGTGTGCTCCTACAAACAGCTTCAGTTCCTGGCTGTTTCATCCATCTGAGAACAGAGATGCTGCCTTTCCTCCCGGCACTCATTTTGTGTCCTAATAGCAGTGACCCAACTACAAGTCCCGCAAGCAGATGGGTCTGTCTGATCAACTGAATAGAGCCTATAGAGCAGTCCAGCGCTGGAGGCCTTCCAAGGGAAAATTGGGACCCCCTTCTGTCTGATCTCCTTGGATTGGGATTCCTGCCTGGAGTGCAAGGGGTGGGATGCGATGGCCTTTTAGGCCCCCTTCCAAGTCACTTACGTATTCCGTGATTCTTGTGGTGGCTTGAACACGTTTGCTTTGAGAGACAGCAGCCCACTTCTTCAGAGGCATCTGATGAATGAAAGAGGTTTCAGTCTGTGAAAAAGAGGATGTGAAATGAAACTTGCCTCTTCCAAGCCTGAGCACCAGATAGGGCTAGAGGGTCGCTTAAGCTTTTTGCTTGCCTTTTGCCTTCACCAAATGCCCTGTTCAATAAATAAATAAATAAACAAACTCACCCAGCCCTCCCATTGGCTCTCCTTCCTTGTTTCAGGTCCGCCTGGCCTTGATGCATGCAGAATATTTTATGAACAATGTCAAAATGCACGACTACGTGAAGGACAGCGAGGAGTGCAAGCCCATCATCATTGATGCCCTCAAAGCCATGTATGACCTGAACATGAACGGCCCGTCAAGTTCCGACTTCACCAACCCGCTGACGAGACCCCGCCTGCCCTACGCCATTCTGTTCGCCATCGGCGGCTGGAGCGGAGGGAGCCCGACGAACGCCATCGAAACGTACGATGCCCGCGCGGACCGCTGGGTGAACGTCACGTGCCAGCAGGAGAGCCCGCGGGCCTACCACGGAGCCGCCTACTTGAAGGGCTACGTCTACATCATCGGGGGGTTTGACAGTGTGGACTACTTCAACAGCGTCAAGCGGTTCGAGCCCGTCAAAAAGACGTGGCACCAGGTGGCACCCATGCACTCGAGGCGCTGCTACGTGAGCGTCACGGTCCTCGATCACTTCATCTACGCCATGGGTGGCTTCGATGGCTACGTGCGTCTCAACACGGCAGAAAGATACGAGCCGGAGACCAACCAGTGGACCTTGATAGCCCCTATGCACGAACAACGGAGCGACGCAAGCGCCACAACTCTGTATGGAAAGGTACGGGCATTGAGCATGAATTTGCGGTCTGTGTGTCTGAGTGGGAGGGTGTGAGTGTGTGAGTGACTGCCAGCTGCGACTCCTGCCAGGTTGCAGGAGAAACTGCAGGCTCAGGATGTAAAAGAATATATCTCCCTTTACGTATTTCCATCTAAAATTGCCCAACACGTTTTGACCTTCTTCAGGGGCTCAACAAAGTAGAACAAAAGGAAACAGAAACGTGGAACGACATTCCCATGTTGGCATTTGTATGGTATAAACATTGCATTTGCACAGAACGATCTAAAAACTTGCGGGCTAAACTGCAAAGCCTTTGGGCTGCAAGATCAAAAGATCAGCAGTTGGAATCCATGCGACGAAGGGACCTCCCATCACTTGGCCCAGGTCCTCGCCAACCTAGCAGTTCAAAAGCAAGTAAAAATGCGAGTAGATAAATAGGTACCACCTCGGCGGGAAGGTAACAGCATTCCGTGTCTAGTCATGCAGGCCGCGGGACCACGGAAGATTGTCTTCGGACAAAACGCTGGCTCTACGGCGTGAAAACGGGGATGAGCACCACCCCCTAGAGTCGGACACGACTGAACTCAATGCCAAGGGGAACCTTTACCTTATCTAAAACTTTATGCATTATTCACAATGGCAATAATCATCTGGTCCGTTGTTACACTGAATTGACAAATCCAGCCATTTTGTTTTAGACATACCGTGGGACTTTAGTCTATATTAAATCTTTTATATATTTGGTCTGTACACAGCTCCGGCAGATTAGTGGAAGAACAATCCCCCATTTCTGGATCCGATCTTATACAGCTGCTCTCCAGGGTCGTTCTAATTAATCTACAGAAACCATGCTGCTAAAGGAGAGAGAGAAAGCCTCTTTCTTCATTTAAACCTTTGGAGGCCAGTGGCCCCGACTCAGTATCCAGTCAATCTTCATTTATGACAGAGCCTTATCATTGCTTGTGTAGACAGCATCTATAGCCTCGGAACTATTAATCCTTTACAGCATGGTTGTGTTTTTTCCGTGTAATGACTACCCACTATGTTGGGTTCTCATATTTATTAATAAAAGGGTCTGATTTATTTGGGTTTATATTATGGAAAACAGGTGCAGAGTTTAGAAATCTATTTCTGAACATTGGAAGTGCTAGACTTACCTATAAACCATACAGCCTGTGGGGTTGGTAGCTGGGGTCGTGGTGGCAGGAGTGAATCAAGAGGCTTGAGCTCTCGGAAGAACAAAGCCAGAATTCATACTGTAAGCTTGTTACAGCGGTTCCTTGTACGACTTTGTGTTGCTGCCTCTTTTCTCTCCCTTTCTGTGCAAAGGTCTACATCTGTGGTGGGTTCAACGGGAATGAGTGCCTCTTCACCGCCGAAGTGTACGATGCCAAGGTCGACCAGTGGAGCCTGATCGCGCCCATGAGGAGCAGGCGAAGCGGCATCGGCGTCATCGCTTACGGAGAACACGTCTATGCAGTAAGGCCAGGGTCCTTCCGTGCTGGTGACACAGCTCCCTTCTGCAGTGACCGTGGTTAGCCCAGTGCTTTGGGATCGAGCGAGAGCAGATCTCCTCCTTCTCGCCATCTCTTGACATCTTCCTTGCCGCCTAATCGTCTGCAGGGAAGAGGATAGTGCAATGGTTCCCAACCTCGCGTCCCCAGATGTTCTTGGACCAGAAGCCTTGCACCACTAGTGGTGCTGGCCAGGATTTCTGGGCCTTGTAATCCAAGAACATCTGGGGACCTGAGGTCAAGAACCACTGACGATGGAGCGTTCTCAGAAGCCTGAACTGACGGCTTTGAATTCACAGCAAGGGATGCACGAGATGTAGACGACAGCCACATTTGGCTCTTGGGGACACACGGTGCCCACCCTTGGCACAGAATGAATTTTGCATGTACAGTGGTGCCCCGCATGACGATGATAATCCGTTCCAGGAAAATCACTGTTAAGCGAAATCGTCGTCACGTGAAAAACAATTCCCCATTGGAATGCATTGAAACCAATTTAATGTGTTCCAATGGGGAAATTACCTCGTCGTCCAGCGAAGATCGCCCATAGGGGAAGCCATTTTCCGAGCGCCGATCAGCTGTTAAAATGGCTGCGCTGCGAAGCATGGGTCCGGAAAAGACAGGGCAGCCATTTTGCGGAGCCGGAAAAATCGTCGTTTTGTGAACAAACGGTTCCCGAAGCAAGGACCTAATCATTGTCAAACGAAAATCCCCCATAGGAAACATCGTCATGCGATTTCGTCATTCTGCGGGGTCGTCGTCATGCGGGGCACCACTGTAAAGTGAACCATGTGATCTCAATATGCTCTGAAAACGATTGCAAAGCCCAGGAGTTCTGGGACAGACGAGCCCGCGCAGAGGAGGGTTCCCAAGGAAATTTGGAAACGTGTGCTTTTGGGTGAATGTAGCTGATGATACAAGAGGTGGAAGGGAGGCTAAATTTACCCTCTCCTAAGTGCCTTTGGGTCACGGCACAACCCTTTGAAGTGTATTCTGAGCCAGAATAAAAGGGGGGTCTTTTCCTAAACAGCTCCTGGTTGTTCTGCTGTCTACAGGTGGGTGGATTTGACGGTGCTAACCGCCTCCGGAGCGCAGAAGCGTACAACCCGGTGGCCAACACCTGGCGGACGATCCCGACCATGTTCAACCCTCGGAGCAATTTCGGCATCGAAGTGGTGGACGACCTGCTCTTCGTGGTGGGCGGCTTCAACGGCTTCACCACGACCTTCAACGTCGAGTGTTACGATGAGAAGACGGATGAGTGGTACGACGCCCACGACATGAGCATCTACCGCAGTGCCCTGAGCTGCTGCGTGGTGCCCGGGCTGCCCAACGTCGGGGAGTACGCCGCCCGGCGAGACAACTACGTGGGCTCCTCCCAGAGGGACGAGGTCAAATACTCCTCCTCCACCAGCACGCTCCCTGTGTGAAAAAAAGCTCACCTTGACTAATAAAGCCCTCTAAGCAAGAACTCTTACACACAACTCGATTCCCCTCTTCTTTTTTCTTTTTTCTCCTGACTTCATCAAAGAGGCTAGTCCTCAGGGATGAGCTGACACCATGCGACCCTCCCTGGCCCGAGAGCTTAATCACCTGTTTTTCCTTCTCCTGCAGACAGAGTTGGAGAGAGAGACACCATGGTTACTAAGAAAGATGCTCAGAACGTGGCAGGATGCAGAGAAGAGCGACAGGGTTGGGGGAATGTAGAGTTCTGTCACGTCTGCTGCTATTTCTTTGGCACCAGAGGAGCAGGGATCATGGGCAAGGTGCCCAGGAAGAGATGTTGGGGCTACTCTCTAAATGGTGATTGTAAATCAACCTTGTTTTGATATATACCTACGGTTATGGCTACTTTTCTGCTCTGTTTGATGAAGAGTCCTTTGTAACTGGAAAGCTTACTTTCTTCCTGCACCAGCGGAAGTTGATCCAATAAAGCCCATTCACGCAGGCAATCCAATTTTTTTTTCTGTTTCTTATCGTTTGGAATGAAACTACCGGTGACCGACCGCGTGTCCCAAACTACAAAAGTCTTCCCACAAGCATTCCACAAGACAACAGAGGATGATAATAATCTGTTGTTTCCTAGAGATGCAGTCATCTCTTGCTCTCAGTTAACTTTTTTGGCAACTCTTTTTTAAAAAAAACATTTTAATGAAAAATAATGCATCTTTATAAACGCATAAAGGCAATGCAAGGAGTGCTAGATATTATTTTCAGACATTAAGCCAGAGCAGGGAGGGACTCCGTAGTTGCTGCAGTCATAAGCTACTCTTGAGAAGTAAGAAGGCCCTGGTGTTACTGTTTTACCTCCTAACTCCATCCTCTTGAGGCTTGGATTCACTGGGCAGAAGACGTTGAGAAGAAGACATTTCTATCCTCCACACAAAGATTGAAGTTCACGAGGTCAAAGCTTCTAACTACAAAGAAAAAACAAGCTCAAGTTCAGCCAGATGGTTAAGTATTAGTCTGATGTTGTGGACACAGACAGGTTTGTAGGGATGGGGTGGGGGGACAGGCCAGCATTCAGGCCCCTAGCCCCTCCCCACAGATGCTGTGAGGGAGCCCTGTGCCTTTCTGTCTCCATGCACTGCTTCATTGGCTGTTTGCCAGGTTGGTGGCTAATGAATGGCTCCAGTTTTGGAGAATGCTTTGAATCCATTCCAGGTCTTAGGCTACACCTTTACTGGAGTTATTCAAGGCATTCCATTGCAAGGAGTGCTAGATATTATTTTCAGACGTTAAGCCAGAACAGGGAGCGACTCCGTAGTTGCTGCACTCATAAGCTACTCTTAAGAAGTAAAAAGGCCCTGTTGTTACTGTTTTACCTCCTAACTCCATCCTCTTGAGGCTTGGATTCACTGGGCAGAAGGCGTTGAGAACAAGACATTTCTATCCTCCACACAAAGATGTTCACGAGGTCAAAGCTTCTAACTACAAAGAAAAAACAAGCTCAAGTTCAGCCAGATGGTTAAGTATTAGTCTGATGTTGTGGACACAGACAGGTTCGTAGGGATGGGGTGGGGGGACAGGCCAGCATTCAGGCCCCTAGCCCCTCCCCACAGATGCTGTGAGGGAGCCCTGTGCCTTTCTGTCTCCATGCACTGCTTCATTGGCTGTTTGCCAGGTTGGTGGCTAATGAATGGCTCCAGTTTTGGAGAATGCTTTGAATCCATTCCAGGTCTTAGGCTACACCTTTACTGGAGTTATTCAAGGCATTCCATCTATTTTGGCAGAGCAGATTCAGAACCTTAAGAGATACGGATTAAAACCTGGAGTGGATTCACAGCACCCTCGGAATCTGTGGCCACTCTTGCTGGTAATGCTAGGGAATCTAAAAACCAGAACTTGGAAACGTTGCACTTTTTGGATAGGCTGGCAGACTTTTTTAAAAAAATGTAATTTTATCAAGTTCTGTGTAGAACACACTGTCATTTTACACAATAGTCCATGCATTACTGTGTAAGGAAGCATAGGATCCGGTTTCCGCAGTCCAAAAATGAACCCTCCTCCTCCCACCATGGCTAAGAAATGCTTCACAGCTTGGCAGCCCCAAAGCTAAATCCTCACCTGGCACAGGTACATCCAAAGCGATTGGACGTCAAGTTAGGACTTGTGATACACCCACCA